CTGCGATGCGTTTTCTGAGAGTTCTTGGCGTTCTCAACCCGACGTTGTCTGACAAGCTTCGTGGACAGCCCGGGGCGCCGTGAGAGTGAGAGGAAGGCGCCTTGCGGCCGCTTTGCCAACGCAGATCTCTCCCTCGGCCTCGTCATCCCTCCTGTGGCCCGTGGGATGGGTTCCCTCGGCCTCATCATCCCTCCTGTGGCTAGTCGTTGCCCACCTGTGGCTCGTGGGGTGGGTTCCCTCGGGCACTCCCAGTGGCAAGGCCGCTTCTTGAGTGCTTCTATAGGCGTCGTTGTTGGTTTCTTTCAGGCCAGCGTTGTGTCCCAGCTCTTGTGGAACGGGTTTCGTCGAAAGGGCTTGCCTCTTTCCGCTCGAGGGACCGGCGCCGTCAGAGGAAGGCGCTCTGCGGCCGGTTTGCCAACGTAGATCTCTCCCTCGGCCTCGTCCTCCCTCCTCCGTTTTGCTCCTCCCCCTCCGTTTGAGCGCGCTCGCGGCGCACACGACCCTTGGTGTTTCTGCATGGGTCTTCGCCCGTGACGTGTCTTTGAGAGGGCCGTCGCCTGCTGCGCTTCTGGGATGGGCTCCCTCGAGTGCCCAGCCTGGCATGACCCGTATCCTGATGACCTTCGGCCCATCCCGCCACCGTGTCGTGGGTTGGTGTCCTTAGGGCTGCCTCTTGGGGTCTCCTGGGAAGCCTCTCGGGGGCCTCTTGGGCGCTGCTCTGATCCGTCTCATGGGGGCCGTTCTGGGATCTCTTACGAGGCCTCTTGGGGGCCTCTTGTGGCTTCTTGGGGGCCTCTTGGGGGCCTCTTGGGCGCCTGCTGGCGATCAGAGGGGTCGTTTTGGAGCGGAGGGCGCGAAACGTCAGCTCGTGTTCCCCCTCTTGGGCCGCCCTTGGGGCAGTCTTGGGCCGTCTTGCAGGCTGCCTGGGCCGTCCTGGAGCCCTCTTGGACCGTCTTGGAGCCCCCTCGGGGGCTTCTCGAGCCGTTCTGGGGCGATCGTTGGGGCCTCTCGGACAGCCTTCGAGCGATGGGAACCCGAGACGGCGTTCGCGCCCAGATCTATCAATCTATTCGTGCCTCGCAGGCACGGTGGCGGATTTCGGAGAGGCTCGAGCCACCTTCCTCTTCTGTTTTCCGTCCGCCCGTTCGGCAGCTCGGCATAAGTTTGTTCGGCAGAGGAAGCGTCGCAGATCTCGTGCCACGCTCTGCAGTCCAGAACGCTGTGTGCTTGTTTTCTGATTTCTATCGGCATGCGTTTGGTGTGTCGCATAGGTGGTCGGCGTGTGCTTGGCGTGCCGACTGGCAGTTGGCCCTTGTTCGGCGCCTCGGAAAGATCGGTGGTGTTGTTCAGACTCTTCTGGAGGGCCTCAGCATGCCCCATATGGGCCCCCCGGCGCCCCCCCCGAGGATCCGATGAGCGCCTTAGAGCGCCCCAAGAGGGCCGCAATCGGCTCCCAAGAGAGCCCGAAGACAGCCCAAGGCGGCGCCAAGATGGCCCAAGCGAGCCCCCAAAGAGCCTCAAGACACGCCCAGGCAGCCCAAGAGGACCCCAGACACCCTTACAAGAAGACCCCACGAGGTCCCCAAGAAGCATCCCAGGCCCCCTCAGGCAGCTCCAGACCTCTGGCGGGCCTTTTGGGCAGTCGAAGGCCATCTTCAGGCCATCTGGGGCCGTCTTGGGTGCATCTTGGGGCCATCTTCGCTGTCTTGGAGGCCTTCTTGGCCGTCTTGGAGGCATCTTGCAGGCCATCTTGGCCGTCTTGGAGGCCGCCTGGGGCTTCTTGGGGGCCTCTCGGGCTGTCTTGGGGCCTTGTTGGGGCCCTCTTGGGGGCCTCTTGCTGTCATGGGGCCATCCAGGAGGCCTCTAGGGCGCTCTTGGGTCGATGTTGGGGGCCTCTAGGGCCGTCTTCTTTCTGCTTCGTTTCGTTCTCTGATGCATCTTGGACCCGCGTGCGCAAGCCGTGAATTGATGGAAGGGGGCATGAGCGGCTTGAGGGCGAGTGGCCTTGGGGAGCTCATGATCCTGGTCAGGATGGGAGGCCCAGTCGACCTGAGAGCATTTGGCTCCCAGGCTTCGGGCGGAAAAGGTCGTGTTTCACTCCTGACGGTTTTTCTCAGTTTAGCTTGGGGCTGGTTTCGGCCCCCAGAATTGCAACGTCATGGTCTTGGACGAAGCGCCCCTGGTGAAGGGTTCGCGAGGTCTGGCGTGCACGTGCTGAAGCAGCATCAATCTACCGGAGGTCTGGGTTTGAGGTGGGTCCGAATCCTTTTTGGGCCTCGAGGGAGAAGCTAACTCGTGCGCTGGCGTTGCTGCAGGCAACCCGCATAGTACGGAGGAGCGACCTTCCAAGGTTACCCTTGCACCCTTCCCCTTGGGCCCACGCTTGGCCGCTCTCGCTGGCCGCGCTTCGACCTGGCCCTCCGAGGCCCTCGCATCCTTTTCGTGCGCCCTTCTCATACGGCCTGGCAGTACCTCCTCGGCAGGTCAGGGCAGCTTTTACCTCGCAGACCTCGGCACTGCCGGGCTGCTCTGCTGCTGCGAGGAGTCTTGGGCCGTGCCGCCGGACGGCCCCAGCAGATCTGCCTCTGCGTCTCCGCCTGTGCCCTGAGAAACCCGACGCATCGACACCGTTGCAGCATCGCAGGAACTCTTCGCCGGGAGCCTGAGGCCGTGCGGCTCGATCTGCGAGGGCCCCGGGGCCCGAGCCTGGGCGAACACGCCCGTCGTGGACCGATGGCAACGGCCTGGACAGAGGCGACGACGCCCGGCTCGAGACAACGGAGACGACCGGATGCATCGGCGACAGTTGAGACGCTCATACGCCCCCTGAGATCCTTCAGCTCAGCGATCTGGCTCCTGAGCGTCTCTATGGCGACTGGGGAGGCGAGGATGATTTAGCTGATGGGTTTCGGTATGCCAGGACACCGAAATCCATCAGTTCAGTAATCCTCGCCTCCTCAGTCGCCGTGGAGACGGTCAAGGGCCAGGTCGCCGAACTGAAGGCTCTCAGGGTGCGTAGCTCAGGGTCTGCTGCGTGGCGACCCGATGCATCGGCGATGCGTGACGACGGGATCTCAGGATCTGCACACTGCATCGTACAGTCGGGTGCGCTGGCGACGCATCGCCGACGTCGGCGATGCATCGGCGACGTCGACGCGAAGCAAGGCGGGCTCCACATCGTGTCGCACCGCCGATGCGTCGGCGATGCGGCGCGATCCTCCGACCCCATATACTCCGACCCCATCTAGGAGACTTCTGGCAAGAGGCCTCCGAGAAGCCCCAGAAGGGCTCCATGAGGCCCCCCGAGAGCGCCCCAGGAGGCAAACGTCTCGCGTTCTCGGCATCTGGCTCTCCCGGCGTCCAAGACGGCCCAAGATCAGGAGGGAACAAAACACAGACACAATCAATCGTCGACTCCCAGGAAAATATGGGAAAATATGGGAAGTGGGGGGGGAAGACAAAAATCCAGAAAATATGGGAAACTATCGGGAATCCTGTTTGTTATGTGCATTTATTTGTGTGTCCCAGGGCCCCTTCACAAGAGGCCCCCCAAGCCGTCCCAAGAGCGCCCAGGGGGCCGCCGAGAGGGTCCGCACACGGCCCCGGGCGGCCCCAGTGACGGCTATGGAGCCGCCCCCCCAAATGCGGCCCGCGACAGCCCCGAGGAGCCTCAAGAGGGGCCCAGATGGCCCCTCTGACATCCCTCGACATCCCAAGATGGCCCCCAAGGGAGCCCCGGGAGCGCGCAAGATACCCTCAACAGGTTGCAGTAGCCTCCCAAGACACTCCCGAGAGGCCTCCTCGGCGCTCCGAGTAAAAACTCAAAGCGCATGTGCTTAGATCTCTCTCTATATATCTCTTTATTTCTACTAATAGAAGACGATGAAAAAGGAACATATCATAGTGGGAGGGAGGACGAAGAGGAGGAGGAGGAGGACGAGGTGGAGGAGGAAGAGGAGGAGGACGACGAGGAGGACGAGGAGGAGGAGGACGACGAGGAGGAGGGAGAGGAGGAGGAGGAGCAGGAGGCAGGAAGAGAGACGAGAGGGGAGGCAATGGGGGATACTGGAGGGTCCATGGGGCAGGTGAAGAGACGTTGATCAACTTCGGATACAGGGGAGGAGGAGGATGGAGGCGAGGCGGGAGAGTGGGAGTGGGAAGGTGGGAAGGGCGAGGGGGAGGGCCCCCCCCCTTGGGCCTGGCCGTCTTGGAGCGCTGGAAGCCCGAACGGGCGAGAACGCTCAAACCTTTCAGGACCTTCGGGGACATTTCTGGTTCTGGCCTCTTGGGGCCCTATTGGGGGTCCTCTTGTGGCCCTCCTGGGGCATGTTGGGAACGAGCCTCTTGTGTTGTCTTGAGTCCATCCTGGGCGTCTTGGGGCTCTTTTAGGCCGTCTCAGGACCCTCTTGGGCCGTCTTGGGCGCCTCTTGGGCCGTCTGGAATCGGGCGTCTTGAAGCGCTCCTGGGGGCGGCCTCTGGACCCTCTTGGACTGTCCTTGGGCGCTTCTTGGGACCCTCTTGGCCCGTCTTGGTGACCTCTGGCCCCATGAAAGGGTCTCGCGGGGCGCCCCAAGAGGCACGCGGGGCGCCCCCAGAGATTCGGGGCCTTGGACCCCTGGGCCCCTTAGGGAGCACGCAGAAGACTCAACATTCGGGATTGAGTGTTCTTTATGGACCCGTGGGCGCTCCACTTTTTGGGGGGTTCTCTGGGGAAGCGCTCCGTGAGAGCAGTCTGTGGGGAGACGGTCCTCCGGGAAGGTGGTGCTGTGGAAACGGTTACCCAGGGAGAACGGTCCTGGATGCCCCGAGTTCTCGGCCGCCTGGACCTCAAGGTTGCCAGCTCGACGTCGGGGCCTCGTTTTTTTAAAGTGAGGGCCGTATCTGATGAGCCTGTTTTCCACCACCACCACCACCATAAGTTGGAGGGGGGGAGGAGGAGGAGGAGGAGGAGGAGGAGGAGGAGGAGGAGGAGGAGGAGGAGGACCCCCCCTCCAACTTATGGTGGTGGTGGAAAACACGCCCATCAGTATCTTTCGCTGAGGCCGAGGTGTTCAGTCCATTGCCATTCTGGATCGCAGCACCAGCCGCTTACCGAAATATCGATACATCCTCGAGTTCGCGCTTGGGGCCGACGTTCTGGCTCTCAGCGCCCCCTCGCAATGACGTGCGCGCGCTCGTCCTTACTGGTGTGCGTGCAGCTGTTCTCGTGCTTGGGCGGCACACGCGCTCTGCATTCGAGGAGCGTCTCGAGCACCGGGACAACATGGGCCAAGATATACCAGATCCAGGATGGTCCAGAAAGCTCGTATGCCTTCCCCCTCACGACCGGAGCTTATGGAAACATTACCAGTTCGGAGATTGGCTCAAGTCATGCGAAGTACTCCGACTCGGACATCAACGCCATGGCGTCGGCTCGAGACGGCTACACTCACGTTTACCAAATCAAGAGCTCCGATTGCGCTTCTTACCTGTACGTGAGGTCGAGCGACAGTTACGTCGACACATCAGCATCATTTGGCCTTACCAAGGATGATACTCAAGTGTGTTTGAGTTCAGCGTACGAGTCTTGCTCGACCTGGGCCACATTACGTTCCACGTTGCACGGCATAGACTTGCTGTACACAAGCCCGAATCTCGGTGGGGAGACGTGCTGCCGTTATTTTTTTGGGCACGGGGCAGTCGATTGTTATGCGGGCCCCTCAGGCCACCGCTGCGTCAAGGGTGGCAGCCAGTGCCAGTATAAGAAGTTGGACCAAGTGGCGTTTTACATCTGGACGGCGACGCCCAGCCCAACGCCCAGCCCAACGCCCGAGCCGACGTCCAGCCCAACGCCCAGCCCAGCGCCCGAGCCGACTTCTAGCCCATCGCCTAGCCCAACGCCCGGGCCGACTTCCAGCCCGACTTCGGCCAGTGCGATGGGTGACCCGCACATTACCTCCATTACCGGGGCCAAGTTTGACATCGTGCGACCAGGCAACCACACGTTGCTTCACATCCCGCGTTTCTCCACTCAGGGTGACAACCTTATCGACGTGAGAGGATTCGTCAAGCACGAGGGGTCGACGTGCCTGGACATGTACATTGACTGCTTGCACATTACTGGCAAGTGGGTGGTCGAGAGGCAGCTCGGAGTCCTGAGTTTCTTCTCCGGCAAGCGTACCGAGCTCAGTGAGAATTGGCTGACGTTCGGGGTGTTGAAGCTGAAGGTCGTGCACGGTTCGACATCTGGCGGCACAAAGTACCTCAATTTGTTTGCCAAGGATCTGAGCAAGGTACATTTCTCAATCGGCGGCATTCTCGGGCTGGACGACCACAGCCAGGCGGCAACCCGAGAAGAGGAGTGCAAGCGAGCGATATCTCTGTTGGTGAACATGTCAGCTAATGACCCATGATTGTGGCGAAGTTGTGACACTACCAGATGTCCGTAACTGCATCTTGAACCCAGTGCTGTCATTTTGTGCACTCAGTGCATGGCCTTCGGCGTGCGCTTGGTGCGCCGGCTAGTGGATGTCCATCTGCAGAAGCGTGTGGAGAGAGAACGCTAAGACATCCAAATTCTTTACGCTTCGCGTATCCCCACCAGCCCATCTCACAGCAGCAACTCTCGCGAAGCATGCCGATAGTCGTGTTTTTCAGGCGTGTGTCCGCTTGGCCCCGCATGCCTCCCCTGTTCCTCCTTCCTCCCGCCTCCTTGTACATCCTCCTTGTGAGGGGAGCGGGAGAAGGACGAGGCGGAGGAGGAGGGAGAGAAAGCGCTCCTCGTGATTTGAGTCGTTTGGGGTTTCTCGTCCTGGTGTGAGTCGTTCGGGCCCTTCTTCCTGGTGTGAGTCGTTCGGGCTCTTCGTGGTGTGAGTCGTTCGGGCTCTTCGTCCTGGTGTGAGTCGTTCGGGCTTCTCGTGGTGTGAGTTGTTCGGGCCCCTCATCCTGGTGTGAGTCGTTCGGGCCCCTCCTCCTGGTGTGACTCGTTCGGGCTCCTCGTGGTGTGAGTCGTTCGGGGCCCGCGTCGTGGTGTGAGTCTTCGGGCTCCTCGTGGTGTGAGTCGTTCGGGCGCCTCGTCCTGGTGTGAGTCGTTCGGGCCCCTCCTTGTGGTGTGAGTCGTTCGGGCTCTTCGTGGTGTGAGTCGTTCGGGCCCCTCGTCCTGATGTGAGTCGTTCGGGCTCCTCGTGGGGCCTCTTGGGGGCCTCTTGGAGCCTCGTGGGGCCTCTTGGGGGCCTCTTGGGGGCCTCTTGGGGGCCTCTTGGGGGCCTCTTGGGGGCCTCTTGGGGCCTCGTGGGGCCTCTTGGGGGCCTCTTGGGGGCCTCTTGGGGGCCTCTTGGGGCCTCCCGTAGCCATTTTGGCTCAAGATGGTGTGCTCGGGAGGCTTTCAGCCTCCGTGCATTCACGAGAGCTGCCGCTGCAGCAACCTCCAGCGCCCTTGTGGGCTCGTGTCGGCGCGTGGGGCGCACCGATGGCGGGCGGCGAGAACGACTGGGAGGTCAAGGGCGGCGGTCGGCGCAACAGGAAGCAGAAACCGTCTCTGGTGTGGACAGTCGGAGGCAAAGGCGGCGGCTCGTCCTGGGTGGGGGCGGGCCCGAGTGACTCATGGACGTGTGGGGCTTGCGGTACAGGTGCGAACTGGAGTACGCGTACGTCCTGCCGTGCCTGTGGTGCGGGTCGCCCTGGGTACAAAGGCAAGGGCAAGGTCACTTCCACGCCTGAGGTGGGGCAGTGGTCCCGCACCTCCTTCCCACCAGTGGCGGCCAGGCCTTGGCGTGCGGCCGCGGAGGCCAAGGCGCCTACGGCCTTGCAGAAGCTGGAGGAGCGCAGGAAGGTCCTGGTCCAGTGCGCCAAAGACTGGGGGGGTGACGCGCCTCACCTCGACCAGGCGGTGGCCGACATCGACAGGCAGATCCAGGACGCCAAGGCGGAGCGCACGCAGGCGAAGCCTTTGTCTGGCCAGCTGCGTGAGGCGCAGGTCCAGCTGGGGCAGGTCGACAGGCAGCTTGAGCGCTTGGCAGAGACCGAGAGGAAAGCCAACCAGATGCTGCTCGAGGTCAAGAAGGAGAGGGATGAGGCTGCGAAGCGCAAGGAGGAGCTGGCGACCACGATCCTGGAGCTCCAGGGGAAGATTGCGGTGGCGGGCCCAGCGGCCCCAGCCTCAAACCTCGACGTCATCCGAGTGCAGTTGGAGTGCATCGCCAAGTCCGTCGGCAGCGACATCCAGTCCCTCGGCCTCAATTTTGCCACGCTCGAGTCCCTCCTGGAGGCCAAGGCTAAGGAAGGGGCAGCAAAGGCTGAGGCTGCTGACACTGGTGCTGCTAAGCAGCCTGGTCAGGCTGACGACGGGGACGGTACAGAGGACGAATCCATGGGAGACATCGTGGGGGCTGAGGAGTTGCCACCAGGTGTCACCGAGACCGAACGTAAGTGGATTAACGGGCAGGAGCCAGTGCCCGACCAGGAGGAGAACCCGCACTTGTTCAAGCGGTACCAAGAGGTGCTCATGTCGGTGCATTCCTGCCAGTTGGCCAAGAGGCAGCGAAAAGGGTAGCTTGCCATGCGACCTCTTGTTCCTGGTGCTCAATGGGACCCACCTCGGCTACCCCGAGTCGCCGTGGAGAGGCGCGGTCCAGGTGCAGCTGCGCCAGAGCGGGAAGGCCCTCCCTTGGGACGACAGCCGCTGGAACCCTGAGGGGTGGGAGGCGGAGTTCGGGGGGAGCGAGAGTGAAGGGCACCGACGGGACGTAGGGCAGATGGATGATGAGCGTGGCGGGCGCGCAGCAGCGGGAGCCAGCCAGAGGGCGGGAAGTGTGGCCAGGTCCACGCCCGCGGGGCCAGTGCGCGGCCCACGGCCTGCGGCATTGGCGAGGAGCGAGCACGGTGCCTTGAGGGCGGGAAGTGTGGCCAGGTCCACGCCCGCGGGGCCGTCGCGCGGCTTCGTGCCTGCGGCGACGGCGAGGAGTCAGGGGGCAGATTCGGGCCAGTGGCGAGGATACGCGAGGGTCCTGCACGACAATCGCATGATGAGGCTTTTGGTTGACAAGGTGAATGACGACAAGCAGGTGGTCATTGTGTGGACCTTCAACGGCTCGGGATGGGGGGCCATCAGAGAGAAGCTCTTGGAGAAGAAGGTGGGGCAGCAGAAGCACATCTACGCTTTCCAGGAGCACCGCCTGAAAGAGGACCAGTGGGCTGGAGTTACCCACAGTATGCGTCAGAGAGGCTACCAAGTGGGTGGAGCGGTGGCCGTGCCCACGCTAGGCCCCATGGGTGAGCCAGGAACCTCTGCAGGTGTGGGAATCGCTGTGCCGAACAGGATTGGCATGGCGTATGTGTGTGGGCAGACCAGCTGGGACTGGTCCCCCAGAGGATCCCCAGGAAGAGCTGCAGCGGCATGGGTTGCAGTAGGTAGAGGCGGCATAGTGGTCGCGACGGTGTACCTGTGGACGGCCGAGCAGATGTCGCGGCGGAACAGGGGGCTGATGGACCACGTGCTGGGGAAGCTGCACGAGCTCAACATGCCGTGGGTGTTGTGCGGGGACTTCCAGAATGCCCCTGCCGTCCTGGCGGGTTTGGATTCGATCAAGCTCATTGGCGCGACGCTGGTGGCCCCCTCTGCTGCGAGCGGAACTTGTCGGTCGGCGAGTGGATGTTCCACAATAGACTATTTCGTAGTATCGAGGGAGTTGGCAGGCCAAGTGAGGAAGGTGACCATCCACGAGTCGTGGCCTTCGGCGCCGCACAAGCCGGTGGGGATCACGCTCGACCTGAGGCCGCAGGAGAGGAAGGAGCGGATTCTCATCACGCCGAAGAAGTTGGAAGGAATCAGCATCGGGCGCGCGCCTGAGCCGCCCGCATACGACGAGGTGGGGGTTTTCAGCGACGTGACGGTAGCGACCAGGACCTGGGCTTCCTTCATTGGCAAGCTGGAGCGCGAGGCTTTCGCGCTGCGGGGGCTGGAGTGGCACCCCAGGCATGAGTGCGCAGGGCGTGCGGACCCACCGCGCTGGAAAGAGAGAGCGATCCTCAGAGGGGGCGGCAACCACCCAGCCCCGCAAGGAGACGCTCTGTGGTGGAGGTGGCTCGCGCGCTCTTTGCAGACCCTGGCGGGGAACTACGAGAGGCTCAGGTCGTCCTCGGGTAGTGCCCGTGCGCGCCAGGAGTGGTGCATGATAGCTAGTGATCTGGAGGAACGCTTCAGGAGCGTGAGCCGCGAGTTCAGGTGCGAGCTGGTCGGCGAGGAGAAGGAGCGGTGGAGAGAAAGGTGTACCTTGCTGGCGAAAGGGCGCTGGCGAGGTGCTGACCAGAAGGCCAGCCTGGGCGCGATGATCCTGGAGGCCAAGGAGCGGTCCAGGCGGGAGGACCAGGACCTGATAAATGAAAGGAGGAGGCAGTGGGCTGCGAAGCTGGAGGAGGCTGCGAAAGGAGCAGCGGGCGGACTCCACAGAATCAGCAAACCAGTGGACATCTGGAGGCCGAGGAGAGCGAGTACACCCCAAGCTTCGGCAGACCCGTTGCGGGCAGCGGAAGCGGCCCTGGGAGAGTGGAACGCAGTCTGGAAGGTGAACGACCCGATGCAGGAGCAGGAGCGGCGGTGGGAGACGGAGCCGCGCCAGGAGTTGCCAGAGTTCACGGAGGGCGACTTGGCCAAGTTAAAGAAAGTGGCGCGCACCTTCAAGAGAAAGACAGCACAAGGAGTGGACCGATGGCACCCCTCCATGCTGCTAGGGGCTTCGGACGCAGCGCACTGGACGCTCCTGCAGATCCTGAGGGAGGTGGAGCGCACGCTCGTCTGGCCGCAGCATGCAGCCACGGTCATTTTCTTCCTGATCCCGAAGAGTGTAGCGGTCGATCGTGCTATCGGCCTCCTCCCGACCCTGGTGAGGGTGTGGGAGATCATGAGGGAGCCCTACATGATCGAGTGGGCTAAGGCGAACCAGCGCTCTTGGGATTGCACGGCCTTCGGCAAGGCGGCGGAGGACGCGGCTTGGGAGGTTCTCCTCGCCAATGAGGGCGACGAGGTGCAGGATTCGGGCCCGCGCACCCTAGCGACGGTGACGGCCATCCTCGACCTGGTCAAGGCTTTCGAGAGGGTGAGCTTGCATGTGCTGTGGGAGCGTGGCAAGGCCATGGGTTTCAACACGGGGGTGCTGGCGGTGGTGTGCTCCTATTTTGCCATGGCGAGGCGAGTCAACACGGGGGAGGCCATCTCGGAGGAGACGAGGACTGTGGCTACGATCATCGCGGGCAGCAAGTTCTCGGTGGGTTTCCTCAAGATGGTCATCCAGGACACGATTGACGGTTTGGTAGTGGAGTACCCGCTGGTGCAATGGAGGATGTATGTCGACGACCTGTGCCTCAAGCAGCGAGGGGCGCAGCAGTGGATCGTGGATAGCTTCCCGTCCGTTGTGGACGACAGCGTGGACGGCTTCGCGGCCTTGGGGCTCGAGTTCTCCCTGGGCGACCAGGGCAAGGGGGCGATCATGGCCAGCACCAAGTGGCTGAGGCAGGCTCTCAAGCAGGATGCAGCAGAGAGAGGGTTGCCCTTGGTGCTGGCCTGCCCTTACCTCGGAGTCGACGTGGTGGCCCACGGGACGGCGGCAAAGAACAAGAGTGGCAAGAGGTTCAAGCGCATGAGGAACAGGGTCGCCAGGCTAAAGGGGCTGAAAGGCTCAGGCAAAGGTGTGACTAGAGGGATTGGTTTGGTGTACAAGTGCGGCCTCAAGAGATCGGTAATGTATGGGTGCAAGTGCCTGGGCATGCCAGACCACCAGCTGCAGCAGGTAAGGAGAGCGGCAGGACAGTTGCTTCCAGGTTCCAGAGGAGCCAAGAGCCTCACCCTGCAGTTGGCGGTGCTGAAGGAGGACCCCACCGAGGAGGCCACACTTGCGCCGGTGGTCAGGTGGGCGAGGGCCGTCTGGGAGCAGGCCGTGGCAGGAGACCTGAGAGTGCTCGTTGCAGGGGGCCAGGTGCAGGCGCAACCCTGTCGTCAGCAGGCCTTCTGTCCTGAGGCGGGTGCTAGGCTCAGGGATGCCCTCGGTGTCTGGACGGCGTTGTGGATCAAGGATCTGAGGGGCGAGAAGCACCAGCGGCAGGAGGACTGGAGCCAGTGGAGTGTTCCCCTGGTCGCAGAGTATCTGCAGGAGGCAGCGCAGGCAGGCCTCCGCAGTGAACTCAGGAGGGAGGCGGCTTCCAAGGTCACAGGTGGAAGCTTGCCCCAGGAGGAGGCTCTGGAGGCGGAGTATCTTGCTGCAGAGGTGTGTCGGCGTGCGTGGCGGAGGGCGTGCTGGAGAAGGCGTGCAGCCTTCCGTTACCTAGACGCGCTCGACGAGAATTGCCGCGCCCAGGTCATCTCGCAGTACAGGCAGGAGCAGGTCGCGCTGCAGAAGGTGGTGCGGCGGCTGCTGGTGTCGAGAGGGGCGCAATGTCCCTGGGGCGAAGGAGGCATGCAGGAAGAGGAAGGCTACCTCGGTGTCAGCACCATTGAGAGCCTGGTCGAGCTGCTGCTGGTGGCGGGCAGCCAGATGGAGATCGCGGAGGACAAGATAAGCAGGAGGACGAGTGTCGGCAGTGAGGCTGTCCTCCTGAGCGAGCAGATGAGCAACGCGTGGAGGCAGCAGCAGAAGGAGGTGGGCATGAGCCCGCAGTGGGCCAAGGTCAAAGGACCCGCGGGGGCGGTCATCATGTCACTGAGGAGAGCGAGGTGGACCTGGCCGTCGTGGACGGTCTACTGCACAAAGGACGGCGAGATGGTGGACCTCACGGCGGTGTGCCCCACTGACGTCGGGGCGCTCCTCAGGGCTGACCTGCGCAAGGTGCTGTGGGAGCAGTGGGCGGCGCAGCAGCCAGGCATGGAGAGCCTAGCCCCAGGCCCGAGGCTCCCGCCAGTGGTGGCGCAGCTGGCCGCGCGGGCTTTCCCTGCGCATGCGAAGCGGGCGGCTCGGAAGGTGGTGCTGGCGGGGGCCTGGACCATGAACAGGCTTGCCGAGGTCAGCATCACGCCGACCGACATCTGCATTGGGTGTGGGCTGGCGGTCGGCACCCCGCATCATCGTTTCTTTCGGTGCCCCGCGCTGCTCGAGGTCAGGAGGCGAGCGCAGGCGGAGTGGCAGCACGTGGCGGAGCAGCAGGAGGACAGTTTGCTCTGGACGCGTGGGCTGGCGCGGGACCCCTCGGCGGACTGGGCCCACAGGTCGGTCGACGAGGCGGACTTCCACTGCGACGTCCTCCAGGGGACGGACGCCCTCCTGTCGGGCGACATCGTGTGCGACGGCTCCAAGCTGGGCACCAGCTGCTGGGCGCAGGCGGGGTGGGCCGCGATGGCCATCGACGCGGGAGGCGCCCCCACGGTGCAGCTCTGGGGCCCCCTGCCATGCCGCTTCAAGGAGCAGAAGACGGTCAAGAGGGCCGAGATGTGGGCCTTCTTAAAGACCTTGGAGACGGTGCTGCCGCCGTGCAGGATCTTCACGGACCACCAGGGCATCCTTGACGGTATCAGGCGGGGGCCGAGATGGTGCTTAAGTTGGGGAAGGCCGCGCGCGGACGTCTGGAGGAGGATCTGGCACAAGATCGCGGACGTGGGACTTGAGCCAGAGTGGGTGATGCATGTGAAGGCCCACAGGTCCAGAGCGGCCATCAGCAGGCTCGAGGGCTTGGCGCAGCAAGTGGCCAGGGGCAATGAGGCGGTGGACGCCCTGGCCAAGCGTGGAGCCGCGGAGGACTTCGGGTACGGCAGGGAGCAGACCCTGGAGAGCCTGGATGAGAAGGTGAAGTGGGCCATCCAGAACATCGGTTGGTGGTGCCAGGAGATGAAAGAAGGGTGGCCCGACGTGCCGCCCAGGACGGGGCCGAGCAGAAGGAGGAAGCAGCAGAGGCCCTACGTCAGCCTCACGAGGCACGAGGTCGAGGTGTGTGGAGCTTGGCTGGTGTGCACGCGGTGCGGCAAGCGTGCAGCTTCGGCCAGGATGAGGAAGAAGCTGTGGGCCTCCGCTTGCGCACCCCCTCCCTGGCAGGCGGTGGGCCACCAGACCAGCGAGGAGAGGGGCTCGCTGGAGGCTAGAGTGGGAGCCGCATGCGCACGGAGGCAAAGGGCGGCAAGGCAGGAGGCGTCCACGGCTGCAGGGCGTGGGGCTGGCGGCGCTGTGAGGGCGGCGGCGGCCTGCGCTGGCGTGGCGGTGGCGGCGGCAGCTGCAGACGGAGGTGATGGAGACGACGGCAGTGCTGCGGGGAGGTCACCTCGGAGGTCGAGGTCGCCTCGGAGACGCAGGGAGGCGGCGGACGTGCCTGTCCTCGAGGGCCCGCCGTGCGCTGAGGAGGGCCTCAGGAGGGCGCACGTCGTGGAGGTCGTCGGCCCCTACGTCGTCTGCCGCGTGTGCGGGGCCCACTCGGCGGTGAGGAGGGCCAACTTGGGCCGCGCCTGCCCTGGGCCCCTGCCGCCGCGAGGGGCCGACGGAGGAGCGGACTCCAGGAGGAAGAGGCGGGACCGCATCCTCCGCGGCTGCCACCCGCAGACGGGCAGGCCGCTCCCCGCCGAGATGGTGCCCGCGAGGAGAGGTGGGTGAGGCCCGCGGGCCTCGCGGGGCCGCACTGAGCTCAGTGTGGCAAGCCTCCAGCGTGGCGGAGTCCGCGGCGCTGGATCTGGGGTGAAAAAAAAAGGCCTCTTGGGGCCTCGTGGGGCCTCTTGGGGGCCTCTTGGGGGCGCCTCTTGGGGGCCTCTTGGGGCCGCTTGGGGGCCTCTGGGGGGCCTCTTGGAGGCCTCTTGGGAGCCTCCTGGGGGCCTCTTGGGGCCATCTTGGGGCCTCTTGCGACCTCCGCAGAAGCGCAAAGGAGAGCTGCCCCCTGAGAAGGACAAAATTAACCCAAAACCTTCGTAAAATCAATGATTTTGCTATGAGGGAAGATGAGCGCGTCCCCCTCAGAAGGCCAAAATGGGGCCAAAACCCTTCGTAAAATCAATGATTTCTGCTTCAAAGACGAGCAGAGGGACCAAACTCCCCCCCCCCCGGGGCTAGAATCCTCGTGAGGGTCGTCGTTTTTTGGCCCTCCGAGGAGTCGAAATGGACCCCCCCGCCACCATTCGGGAATCCCTGTCCAGGTCCAGGGGGAGGGGGTAGGGGGAGGGGTAAACCCCTCCCCGAAGGGGAAGATAGGGGGTTGAGAACAGAGAGAGCTCGCTAAACCACTCACGCCCAAAGGGCTGGTGGGACTTGCTCTGGGCGCGATCCCTTCCCCGTTGGGCGTCGGAGCCCGTTCGGCCGCCGAAGGGGCTCACGGTCGAGCCCGCTCGGCGGCCGAACGCGCTCGATTGCCGCCGCCCTGCTGAACTCGAGCCCGTTCGGCTGCCTATGCGGAGGCCGAACGGGCTCAGACGCCGAACTGGCTCAGAAGGAGCCCTGGGGCCGGGCAACGTCCACTCAAGGTGGGGCCCTGGGCCCCTCTTGGGGGCCAAGCACACCAGTTTTCGGAGCCGCGTCCAGCTGCGGCGCCGACGACTGATACGACTAATACCCATACTCGTATTACTAATGATATTGCGAATCCTAATGCGAATGCGAAGAATACGAACACGGATAATCATTCACATAAGAATACCACTCATAATGTTTAGTACGAATTCGAATAAGGATAAGAATGCGCAAACGAATGCGAAGACTACTACGACTCCTACTAACAACGATCTACGGAGGAGGAGGGGGATGCGGAGGCGGAGGAGGAAGAGTAGGCGCAGGAGTAGGAGAAGAAGGAGGGGAAGACGAAGAGGATGCTGATGATGATGCTGATGGTGACGATGAGGATGAGGATGATGATGACGATGATGATGATGCTGATGATGCTGATTATGCTGATGATGATGCTGATGCTTATGCTGATGATGCTGCTGATGATGATGATGATGATGATGATGATGATGATGATGATGATGATGATTAGGATTAGGATGATGATTAGGATTATGATGATGATGATGATGATCACCCCATAATAATCACCCCGAAACCGTTTAATCCATGCACACAAGGAGGGAGTCGAACGTGGCAGGGCTGTTTAGTCAACGCCCAGGGCCGTTTAGTAAACGTCAATTGTCGGGTCCGGGTGTTTTTTTTCCCTTGAGGGTGGGTCGCGGGGTGGGTCGCGGGGTTGGTCGCGGGGTTGGTCGCCGGTGGGTCGCGGATGGGTCGCGGACGGGTCGCGGGGTGGTCGGGTGGGTCGCGGGTGGGTCGCCGGTGGGTCGCGCGCGGGTGGTCGCGGTGGGGCGGGTGGGTCGCGGGTGGGTCGCGGGTTGGGTCCCGGGTGGGTCGGGTGGGCGGGTGGTCGCGGGTGGGTCGCGGGTGGGTCGCGGTGGGTGGGTGGGTCGCGGGTGGGTCGCCGCGGGGTGGGTCGCGGGTGGGTCGGGGTGGGTCGGGTGGGTCGCGGGGTGGGTCGCGGTGGGTCGCGGGGTGGGTCGCGGGTGGGTCGCGGGTGGGTCGCGGGTGGGTCGCGGGGTGGGTCGCGGGTGGGTCCGGGGTGGGTTGGGTCGGGGTGTGGTCGCGGGTGGGTCCCGGGGTGGGTCGCGGGGTGGGTCGCGGGGTGGGTCGCGGGTGGGTCGCGGTGGGCTGCGGGGTGGGTCGCGGGTGGGTCGCGGGTTGGGTCGCGGGTGGGTCGCGGGGTGGGTCCCGGGGTGGGTCGCGGGGTTGGTCGCGGGGTGGGTCGCGGGTGGGTCGCGGGGTGGGTTCCGGGGTGGGTCGCGGGGTTGGTCGCGGGGTGGGTCGCGGGTGGGACGACGACAACGAACAACAACACCACCAACAATAACAACATAAACAACAGCAGCAGTAACAACACCACCACCACCAACAACAGCAACAACACAAACAACAACACCACCAACAACACCAACAAAACCAACAACAACAGCAACAACAGCAGCAACAACAACATCAGCAACAACACCACCAATAATAGCAACAACAAAAGCAACAACACAACCATTAAAACAATCAACATCAACATCAATAACAGCAGAAACAATTTCAGCAGCAACAGCAACAACGACGCAACAAGCATAATTCTGACCACGGATTTCTGATTCAGCCACGCACCCAGGGACAATGAACGACCGTTCGGTCCCCTCACATTGCAGAGGAGCATGGTCGTCCACTGGAGTACGGCGGAGCATAGGAGCACGGCAGTCCTCGCAGGAGCACGTCAGACCACACAGGATCACGGCAGACCACAGGAGCACGGTGGAAGTTGCACGGCTCCTTGGGGAGCAGCATCTCCCCTTCAGTGCTGCCAAAACGTCGTGCCTTGCCTCCAGCCCAGGCCTGGCCTGGCTGCTTGGGGAGCGCCGGCAGGCTCAAGCGGGTCCGCCAGGCCAGGAACCTCGGCACGGACGCCAGCATCGCGAGGCGTGGAGATCACGAAGGTCGAGCCCGTGCTGCTGGAGCCATGCAGCGCGCCCGGCGGCTTCGCTGCCTCAAGGCTGCTGGAGTGGAGGTCGACCTGATCCACAAGGCAGGGCCGACGGCCAGCATGATCTGGGGGCGCACGGTTACGGGCATCGCGGACGGGGAGCTACGCAGCTGGCGGCTCACGGCGTGCCGCAGTGCTGGTCGGCTGCCTACCGGTGCTGCCCTGGGCCTGAGGCTGCGATGCGCGGAGCTGCGGCGGCGGCGCAACCTGGACCCTGCGGTGCTCGCTGCGGGCTACACGGTGCAGATGCTGGCGGCGCTGCTCCAGTCCGGGGAGCTGCCCCTGCGCATGCTGAGGCGTGGGCTGGAGGCGGCAGCAGCCCGACGCGCCGAGGCCGTGTCGCCGTGGGTGCACTGCGCGTCCCCAGTGGATGCAGCGGTGCTCACCCTGGCCAGGATCGGCTGGCACTTCGAGTCGGAGCGATGCCTCGTCACGGACCTCGGGGGCCAGCTGGGCCGCGCGCTCCTTGGCCCGCGCGAGCTGGGGTTCGAGGCTGGGCTCGGGGCGCAGCGCGCCTCTGACCGCCATGAGATGCGGAAGCTCGCCCACAGCAGGGCTTCTCAGGGGCCGCTGCGCGGCCGCGCCAGGTGCCGCTGCTGCGGGGCGGCGCGTGGCACCCGCTGGCGCAGGCTCTTCGATTGCCCCGTGCTGGCGGCCCAGCGGAGGAACAGCGTGTCTCCTCGACTTGCTAGGTGTGCTGAACGGGTTCGAGCCCAGGGCGAGGCTGCAGGGGAGAACTTCGCGCGCTGCTGGCTGCCAGCCCCCCCCCCCCCCCCCGCGGGGCCGCCGCGCTGATGCCGTGGGCGCGTGGTGGATCCGAAGGCCGCCGGACGACGGGTTGAATGGGGAGCTGTGCTTGGACGGCTCGGCCGTCGAGCCGCACTTCTGCTCCCTCCGCCGAGCTGGCTGGGCCATCGCGCAGAGTGACGACGACGGGGGCCTGGTCGCGGGCGTCTACGGCGCGGCGAGGCGCGACCTCTGTCCGCAGCAGATGGCCAAGGGCGGCGAGGACTTTGCGGCGTGGATGCTGGCCAACTAGGCGGGGCCAGCGGTGGAGGAGGTCCACATCGACTGCAGCTCCGCCGTCTCCTGCCTCCGACGGGGCCGAGCCTGCGCCGCGGCGCCCAACGGGGCCCGCGCCCACCTGGGGCAGGATCCACGCGGCCTTCGAGCCTGGCTCGTTTGCAGTGCGGAAAGTGCCAGCGCACTGCGACCGCCAGGCCGTGCTGGACGGGCGCCTCGCGGAAGCCCAGCGGCGCGGGAACGACCGCGCCGACCGCCTCGCCGAGGTGGGCGCCAGGCTGCGTGCCGTGGGCAGCCAGGCCGTCGGCGAACGCCATGCGCTGGCCGAGGTGGTCCACGGGCTAGCGCGGTGGATTGGCCAGGCCGCAGTCATCTGGCAGGGCATCGGCGAGGAGGACAGCGAGGGGACTCCCAGATGCCGGGGGGCGGCGGCAGGTGCGCATCAAGGCGCCGCCAGGCGCGCAGGCCCCGCCCGCCGACCAGGAGGAGCAGGGCCCAGAGCCCAAGAGGCCGCGCCTGGAGAGCGCCCGCTCAGCCGGCAGCGCGCTGGCCCTCTCGGCCAGCGCGGCGGCCTTCAGCATCCTCGGGCATGCCCTCAGCTACGCCTGCAGTGGCGACGGCGAGCAGGCCCAGGAGCTGGTGGCTTGCACCAAGCGCGGCGCCCACATGGTGCTGGGAAGCCGCTCAGGGGCCAAGCCGCGGCTGGCGGGCCTTGCCTGGCCGACGAGACGGACGAGAGCGGGCGCAACCAGCGCAGCCTGCGGGGGCGCGGGCCCCACCCTGGAGGAAGGCCGAGGTCGGCGAAGCAGCGCCAGAAGGACCTGGCCATCCCCAGCCTACGCGCGCAGGGGCCAGTGCCCGCGGGCGCCCAGGGGGCTACCTGGAGTGGCTCGGGGTCGTTGCCGAGCAGCCGGCGGCAGGCAGCGGGGGGGCCAGCGTGGCCAGCCCCAGCGGAGTCGCAGGAGCGAGCGGGCGCGTGGCCGAGCGCCCGCGCGCCGAGGCTGCTGCTGACGCTTTCGCTTCGCCTAGCGGCGGCGGCAGGGCGCCTGGGGCCAGCGGCGAGCCTGCGCCTGGGGCCCATGCGGCGGCGGCAGGTGGCCGTGGAACTGGGGCTCGCGAGGACCTCCTACCGGTCTACGGCCTGAGTGAGGCCGAGCTGGCTGCCAGCGCTGAGGCCGGCGTCAGCGCGGTCGAGCGCCGGCGCGTGCGCCGCCGCGCGGACTGCCTCGGAGCCAGGGCCGAGGATAGCGATTGATTGAATGAGTGTAGCATCTGTTCTTTTCTTCGGTTGCAGTTGGCTTGCTCGTTCTGGTGAGTTTGATCGATTGCAGTATCTGTTCTCTCCGAGGCAGTTCGCCTGCTCGTTTCTGGTTAACGGATTGATCGAGTGTAGTATCTGTTTTCATTATATTGGCAGCTCGCTTGCTCGTTCGTTTGTGGGCGCGCCGCTGCACCGACCGCCTCGGGGCCAGGTCCGAGGATAGTTTGTGAATGAGTGTAGTATCTGTTCTTTTCCTTGATAGCAGTTCGCGTGCTCGTTCAGGTCAGTGTGATCGAGCGTATTATCTGCTCTTTCCTATGGCAGTTCGCATGCTCGTTCTGGTTGCAGGTTGGTCGAGTGTAGTGCTTGTTGTTGCCCAGTGACAGCTCACTTGCTCGTTCTGGTTTTGCCTGGTCTTTTTGTCATGCCCGAATGCCGTGCGTGTGGGGGGGCTTGGCGTCTGGGGGGGCCCTAAGTCACGCCTGTCGGTTGGCCCGCCTCCGCCTGCCCTGGCCCTTTGGGGGCCGCCCCGTTTTTGCGTGTATTGGAGGGCTCCTCCTTGAGCCATTCAGGCCCCGACTTTCTCTTTCACTTTCACACAGGAGCATGGCAGATTACAGGGGCACGCCAGATCATAGGAGCACAGTAGACGAGAGGAACACAGAAGACCACAGGAACACGGCAGCTGGCAGGATCGCGGCAAACCACACAGGAGTACGACAGACCACGCAGGAGCACGGCAGACCACAGGAGCACAGCAAACACGTCACAGGAGCACGGCAGACCACACAAGAGCACGGCATACCACAGGAGTTCGGCAAACCTCAGGGGCACGGCAGACCACAGGGGCCCTCTTGGAGCCATCTTGGGCCAAAGCGGGCGGGGTGGAGGGTCTTTGGGAGGTTGGGAGGCCTCTTGGGGCCATCTTGGCCCCCATGGCTCAAAAAAAAGGTCCCTCAATTAGGACCCCCCTCGGCGCCTTAGGGCTCTCTTGGGCCGCTCTTGGGCGCCTCTTGGGCGATCTTGGGGCCGTCTTGGGCCTTATTGGGCCCCTCTCGGGGCTCTCTTGGGCCATTGTGGGGCCACCTTGAGGTTTCAGAGGCCAATCGGAAGCGAAAAGGCGATATTGCCAAACATATTGATTTTCCCTTGGCTTTTGAAGGGCTTTTGCATGTTGGAGGGCGCCGTGGAGGGCTCGAAGGGCACTTGGATCCGTCTTGGGGCTGTCTTGAGGGCTTTTGGAGGTATGTCGGAGGCTATCTTGACCCATCTTGGAGTAACTTGGGCCATCTTGGAGGCCATCTTGCGACTTGGAACGCCTCTTGGAGCCATCCTGGGCCATCTTGGACGCTGCGGCGCCTCCGCCCCCCCCCCCCCCCCGCAGGTCCAGGAAGGGGTAGGGGGAGGGGTCAAGTTACCCCCTACCCGCCCGCAAGCCGTCTCGTTCACTCCCACCCGCCCTCCCAACACATACGTAGCACCCGAGTCTGGCCCGAGCCTCAGCATATTCAGCAGTCGTCTTGGGATGGGGAGCTACTGGGGGCCAATCGCCGCCGCCGCCGCTGCCGCCCGCCGCCGCCGCCGCCCCCCGCTGCCAAACCCGCCGCAGCCGCCGCTGCCGCCGCCGCCGCCGCCGCCGCCGCCGCGCCGCCGCCGCCGCCGCTGCCGCCGCGCCGCCGCCCGCCGCACGCCGCAGCCGCCGCAGCCGCCGCCGCCGCCGCCGCAGCCGCCGCAGCCGCCGCCGCCGCCGCCAAGTGTACTCTGAATTGTTTTTTGACAGGGATGGTGTGTGGGGGGGGGCGCATCGGGTTGGCTGCGCATGTTCCGAATTTGGAGGCAGAGCGTGTTTTGTATTGTTTTTTACAAAGGGATGGGGGGGGGGTGTTAGCATGGACCGGGGTTGGCCCCCAGTCGCCTGGGGGAGGGGGTGTTCACTAATAGGGAACAGTGATTAAACCCCTCCCCCGAGCAGGGGAAGGAGGGGGAAGAGAGAACACCAAACTCGTTATACCACCGTAGCCCTAAAAGGGCTGGTGGGATTCACTGCAACGGGAGCGATGCTTACCGAAAGCCTCCGAACACAGATCGGGGGTGGTCGAGCGAAGGCCAACAGGCATGGCCTGAATGGGGTGCCTGCGGGCCGCGACAATCTGCGCGGAGTGCAGGGTTTCCCGCGCGCCGCGGCTTAGCTTGCGGCGGGGATTCACCTTGCACCCTCCGCGTCGGCACTGGGCGAAGGCTCGGGTTGCGTCGTATGAAACATTGTCGGGTCTTCTTCAGCCTGCGGAGTAGCTGGCGCTGCAAGCCTTGTCCAAGTTCTGCCATCGTTCCGTCCCCTTCCCGCCTCTTCTCAAGTCTTTCACCTCCCTGTCCTTTTTGGAAGGCGAATGGCATCGCAGCCAGGGAGATGATTGCTAAGGCCTTACGGCCAGTGCCGCCGACCCTGGGTACCTCGGCCCTCGAGGGTGACGGGATGCGTGATGAGACGTCGGAGGTAAATGAAGACGTGGCGGAGGAGGAGGCGGAGGAGGATGATGATGAGGAGGAGGAGGAGGAGGAAGGGGTGGAGGTGGAGGAGGAGGAGGAGGAGGAGGAGGAGGAGGAGGAGGAGGAGGAAACGGAGGAGGAGGAGGAGGCCGAGGGAACCCATCCCACGGGCCACAGGAGGGATGACGAGGCCGGGGGAGAGATCTGCGTTGGCAAAGCGGCCGCAAGGCGCCTTCCTCTCACTCTCACGGCGCCCCGGACTGTCCACGAAGCTTGTCAGACAACGTCGGGTTGAAAACGCCAAGAACTCTCAGAAAACGTATCGCAGACGACCAACACAAATCCCATCGGATCATGGTGTTGGCCTGCCGCGCTGCTCTGTCGTATTGGTCTGCCGTGTTGCTGGGCCTGCCGCGCTGGTCTGCCTTGCTGCTGTGGTCTGTCGTGTTGGTCTGCCGTGCTCCCGTGGTCTACCGTGCTTGTGGAACGGGTTTCGTCGAAAGGGCTTGCCTCTTTCCGCTCCAGGGGCCGGCGCCGTCAGAGGAAGGCACTCTGCGGCCGCTTTGCCAACGTAGATCTCTTCCTCGGCCTCGTCCTCCCTCCTCCTTTTTGCTCCTTCCCCCCCCGTTTGAGCGCGCGCGCGGCGCACAGGACCCTTGGTGCTTCTGCATGGGTTTTCGCCCGTGACGTGTCTTTGAGAGGGCCGTCGCCTGCTGCGCTTTTGGGATGGGCTCCCTCGAGTGCCCAGCCTGGCATGACCCGTATCCTGATGACCTTCGGCACATTCCGCCACCGTGTCGTGGGTTGGTGTCCTTAGGGCTGCCTCTTGGGGTCTCCTGGGAAGCCTCTCGGGGGCCTCTTGGGCGCTGCTCTGATGCGTCTCACGGGGGCCGTTCTGGGATCTCTTATGAGGCCTCTTGGGGGCCTCTTGGGCGCCTGCTGGCGATCAGAGGGGTCGTTTTGGAGCGGAGGGCGCGAAACGTCAGTTCGTGTTCCCCCTCTTGGGCCGCCCTTGGGGCAGTCTTGGGCCGTCTTGGAGGCCGCCTGGGCCGTCCTGGAGCCCTCTTGGACCGCCTTGGAGCCCCCTCGGGGGCTTCTCGAGCCGTTCTGGGGCGATCGTTGGGGCCTCTCGGACAGCCTTCGAGCGACGGGAACCCGAGACGGCGCTCGCACCCAGATCTATCAATCCATTCGTGCCTCGCAGGCACGGTGGCGGATTTCGGAGAGGCTCGAGCCACCTGCAGGTCTCGTGCCACGCTTCGCAGTCCAGAACGCTGTGTGCTTGTTTTCTCATTTCTATCGGCATGCATTTGGTGTGTCGCATAGGTGGTCGGCGTGTGCTTGGCGTGCCGGCTGGCAGTTGGCCCTTGATCGGCGCCTCGGAAAGATCGGTGGTGTTGTTCGGACTCTTCTGGAGGGCCTCAGCATGCCCCATATGGGCCCCCCAACGCCCCCCCCCCCCCGAGGATCCGATGAGCGCCTCAGAGCGCCCCAAGAGGGCCCCAATCGGCTCCCAAGAGAGCCCCAAGACAGCCCAAGACGGCGCCAAGATGGCCCAAGCGGGCCCCCAAAGAGCGTCAAGACACGCCCAGGCAGCCCAAGAGGACCCCCGACATTGGAGGCCTCCTGGGCGCTGTCGGGGCGATCTTTGGGGCCTCGTGGGCCGTCTCGGGTCGTCGGAAAGCCGAGAAGAAGCGAATGCGAAAATCCTTCAAAAACCTGAGGAAACCTCGGAGGACCTCTTGGAGGCCTCTTGGACAGTCTTGGAGGCCTCTGGGGGGTCTCTTGGGCCGTGTTTGGCCGTCCTGGGCTCTCTTGGGCCGTATGGGAGGCCGTTTTGGACCATCTTGGGCGAACTTGGAGGCCATCTTGGACTATTCTTGGAGGCCACCTTGGGCCACCGTGGCCATCTTGGAGACCATTTTGGGTTATCTTGAGCAGCAATTCTGGAAATTCCAGGCCTTCCGGGTGGCCGGCGGGACGGGCCGAAGCCCCAGGGGGAGTTCTTTTGGAAAAAGAACCAAACCAAAACCGAGAGGGTCTAGCACGCCAGGCACCCCTGCGATGAATCGACAGGGGGCGGCGGATCGAAGACGCCTGCGGCGAATCATCGCCGCCCCCTGCCTTTTTGGAAGCGCCTGTGTGGCCGAACGTTGAGGCCAGACCTGCCAAGCTATCGGACCATGTGTTCCCCGAATCGGTTTGGAAAGCCTTCGGGGAACACGTGGGCATCTTGAAGGTCATCTTGGCCGTCTGGAGGCCGTTTTGACCCTTTCGGGCCTTCTTGGAGGACGTCTTGGATGGCTCTTGGGCCGTCTTGGAGGCCATCTTGAGCGTCTTGGAGACCTCCTGTGCAGTCTTGGGGGCCTCTCGGGGCCGTCTTGGGGCCCTCTTGGGCCGTTCTGGGGCCATCTTGGAGGCCTCTCGGGCGATCTTTCGGCGATCTTTGCAGGCTCTTGGGCCGTCTCGGGCCGTCGGAAGGCCGAAAAGAAGGA